TCATCAGTGAGCAACCGACGTGTGCTGCGTACTGCGTACTGTCTCTAGGGCATCAGATACACGTGTAGCATATGTTTTGACATCGCAGTGCAAAAACAAATTTTCTAAAATGACGGCTTTGCCTGCCAGCCGCTGGCCTTATTGGGACTTGAGGTTATGACATCAGTGCTCTGGAAAGGTACGGCAAGTTGTTGTCGGGAAAATGGGCATTTTTGAAAGGCATCACATCAGGGCAATGGCTGAAGGCATCGACGGGAATCGCCGTCGATGCCGTCATGTAATATCAAGGCTGCAATAAAGTGCACGTTCTTTACAGCTCAAGATATCTCAGTCACATGTATATTTTAAGCATGAAATTACACACTGAAAACAGCTGAATTAATAATAAGTCTCTCTGTCCTTGAATACTGCAATACTCATTTATCACTCTAAGCACATGTAAATATTTTAGGCACAAATAACTCACAAAGTGGTAGCTGCAGACAACCAATAGGGCTACCTACATTTGTGCCAATCTCACCTGATGGAGTCTCATTTTTCCAACCCAATTTTCTTCTTGAATGGAATCATGACTTCAAAACACTGCATTCAGAATGTGTCAAAGGTTTCATGCACACGTACTTAGCATGATTTCCACCCTTCCTGTCCTGTGCTTAGACCATTCAGCATTACATGTACATTTTATTCTTAATTATTCACTGGTTGGTGCCTGGTTTCAGACATCAGCTAAAACTACAATGTACTCTTTCTCAGTGTCTGCTTTTAATTTACATTTAACATTAAACAGAAGTATATCAACTTTATGTTAAAGAAACTTGCTTAGAATCTGTCAGTAGTGTGCTTACAAAAAATGATCATGCAATTGTCTGCACTCCTGACATTGCCAAAAAGCATTTCAATTTTTTGCAAGAATAACATTGATAAGTCTGGCAACTTTGATGGAGACAGTCACATGACTTCCACAGTAAATTTTAAACTGCCTCACCTTTTCATTGGTTGTTACTTTACATGATTGCAGATGAAGAGACAGGCTATCATTGCTGTTCAGAGAACGCATTTGTTTGATGAAATTCACACTTTTGCCTTTGTATCTTTGATTCACAATTGTGCTAAAAGGCCTCATACTTTACTGGAGGTACCCAAAAGGCTTCAAATACATTTATGTTGACATGTAGGGTTTGGGAGATGATTGGCCACCCCAAAACCATTCAATTAATTCATCGGCCGAAAATTAAGATAAAAGAAGTCAGAGGCACTTTTTTCCCACAACCAACTGGGTCAATTTTGAAAACACACGAGGCCAAATTGTTTGTTTGAAGATACATGTAAGCTGGCTTTATTGCACCCGAAATTCAGTGAATGGGGAATTTTGATGATGTGTAGAAAATACGCGGTAAGATTCAATGCAGTTGACCTATTAGCCAACATCAGTCAAGTGACATATCTAATACATGTATATCTATGTAGTGTACAGGGGAAGTGGAAGAAGGAATTTTGACTGTTTTTGACAGTTACAGCAAAAGGAGGGTTAATCTTTTGAAATGTTGAAGGAGATGATCAGGTGACTTCATCTTTGATGAATTTGTCACACCTTTTCACGGCTGTTTAGTCATTTGAGTGAAAAACAGAAGGCAGTCTATTGTTGTTAAGAAAATGCATTTGTTTTATAATATTCACAAATTCATCTTTCCAGTTTTGAGTCATCACTCTAGAAGATGTTACATTTTTCTATTCAGTGTTGGTCCAGTCTGTAATGGGCACAGCTGTCCACTGTAGTAACAAACTTGTCAGCATCAACCTGGGAGATGGTGACATTGTTAAGATGGCACATCTTCCCTGACAGGTTGAAGGAGTGGCAGTTAGGATCCTTGTAGCAGGCCTTGCAGCATTGTATGGGATGCTTGATGGGGATGACCGTGTAGGCATGACCCAGCAGGCAGTGGGGTGTGACCAGGCCAGCATCTTGCTTGATCACAGCTTGGCACCGAGTGTGGCCTTTCTTGTAGTTCATTTGTTTCTCACATGTAACTCGCATAGTTTCTAAACACCTTTTTTCAGCAAAGTCTGAAGTAAAAGGGCTCAGTACGATGCATGTCTGTTCCTTGTCAAGTATTGCTAGCTGCTGTTGGTTATCATCAGAGCACTCCCGCCTGCCATCTATCTCCTTACAGCCCAGCCAGATTCGTTTAGGGTAGTGAGTTTCTGGGAAATATTCTGTGACCATTCTGCTGACAAAGTCTGTTTCTTGTTTGGAGTTGAGAACAAGAAGTTGAGCATCAAGGCTGGTACATGTCTTGTAAGCATCAAGCCAAGACATTTTAAATTCCTCATCAAGGAACTTGATGTAACAAGACTGATTGTGGTATATCCATCCCTGTGGGCAGCTCATGCAGATGGCATCAGTGCTGTGGATAACAACCATCAGAGCAAGTAAACCTCCTAACAGAATGCCTTGAGCCTCCAAATACATTGTTGCTAATCCAACGTGTGAGATGTTCTCTTGTCCGTTTGATGAGCTATCATTAACTGATGCAACCACCAACTAGGTGTTTTTGCTTGTGCCTTCTTTGTAAGTTAACCATGTAAACATCACAGTTTCTGGCAAACTAATGGCATCAGTCCAAAAAGTATGCAAGGCATAGATCAGAGAATGGGGCAGCCATGATTGTAAAAATTAATTAAATTCAGATAACTTCTTGCTCTAGTTACTCCCGCTTCTATTGTGTCATTAGTGTCTGGTCAACCTTCCTAATTGAGTGGGTAGGTCCCACTATGAACATCTAACAAAAGAAGTATGATGCAATAACGGTGGATGCTCAGTGCACTGTGTTTCTTTTGTTAGATTTTCATAGTGTCCACTTTCGGCAGCCATTGTCATGAGCAAGCCCCGCTGCACAGAGAAATGGATTTTTAGTGTGTAACATCAAAATTTGCCGGAAGAGAACAAGTTGGAAACTAATTGCTGTGTGAAATTTTTTGGCACTTTCTTGCTGTGACATTTTGATTAGGCCATGATGAATGACCACAGAATGGCTTTAATACTGGGACTATTTTGTTTCATAATTTTTGTATTTGTTGATTGATTTTTTAACCAGAATTCTGCATTTCAAAAGGCCTTAGAAGTGCCTTAAAATTTTAACAGCTACAAGTTTTTAGCAACAACCGTTTAAATATGATTTCAGATAGAAGTACTGGCCTCATAAGTACTCATATATGTACATAACAAAATATTAGGCACAAAGTGGTAGCCACAGGTGAATACATAGCTACATATATTTGTACCAATCTTATCCAGTGCGCTCTTACCTTTCTATTCAATCTTCTTCTTCAGTGATCACTGCAGAAAAGTGCCTTCTGAGTCTCTGGACAATTTCATATACTTGACAGATTTCTACCTTTCCTATCAAATGCTTAGACCATTGAGCAAACAGTGTAAGTTCTTATGCTGACTGGTTGGTATCCAGTTTCTGACATCAGCTAAAATTACTCACTGTTAATATACATAACAACGTAACATTGAACAGAAGTATATCAACTACACGTTGAATTCCATGCATTCATTTTTTCACAGCACTGTATGGTACATTGTCTTACTATTGTATTTTATGGCTTCTGAGAACAATAAGATCATGTACACCAACAAGTGACAGCGCTGTTTGTTACATTTTACTACAAATTTATAATTTTTAGTATAATGTTGGTTTAGGGTTAAAAGGTTATAAAAATATATACAATGAAAATATATATACACACAAAATGTGTACGTTTTGACAGGTTGATAATATTCATTTCTCAAAATTACTTTAGCGTCAAATCAGAGACTTGGGTAACCTGTACAAGTTCTGATGAGTTGTAACTTTTGATTAAAATTTGATCACTTTATGCTTCATTTGAACTCTCTCCTCATGCATTGAGCTCTCACCAAAGGGACGTCATTGCTAAGGACATGTAATATCACACCATCTCTTCTTTCTGCTGATGTTATTATTCATGAATTTGTTTTCCCCTCTTCCCCCCTTTTGAATGAAGTTTGCCAAGGAAGAGCTGAAAATCCCTGGCCTGTTAATCATCGACACCCCCGGCCATGAATCCTTCAGCAACCTGCGGTCACGAGGCTCGTCCCTCTGCGATATTGCCATCTTGGTGGTGGACATCATGCACGGATTGGAGCCCCAGACCATCGAATCCCTCAACCTCCTCCGCTCGCGCAAGACGCCTTTTATCGTAGCATTAAATAAGGTGACGTAACTGTCCTTACACTCCTCTTGAATTTCCATTCACGGGCCAGTGCCAGTGTAAAACCCAGGATGTTTTTGAGAGACACATCATAAGGATTGCAGGAAATGGGTTTTGCATCATGACTCAAAACAAAAACGGTTACTGTCTGGAATGTTTCAATATTGCCTTTAACAGATGATGAGTCAAGATTTGCTGCTGTGCTACTCCGTAACAGCTAAAATTGGGAATAGGGTGAAATGAGGTGACCAGTTTTTGATGGCTGACCTTGGGATTTTTATTTTTGCTGTAGAATAGTGACCCTAAGTTGTTTAGGACTACATGTTTGGAGGTGATTGCTTATTTTGTTTGGAGCAATCTCTGAATTGTTTCAAATCTTTTAGAACAGAATGTAGCAGTTTAATTTTCATAGACACATTCATAATTACGCAGCGATTGCTGTGCTTTTTCCAGCCAACATTTGACAGGTCTGTTATTCAATCTTTTTTTTTTTCATCGTTCCACAAAGATTGATGTGCTGTATGAATGGAAGAGCAGTCCACACACAGACATTGCCAACACCATCAAGAAACAGAAAAAGCACACCAGAGATGAGTTCGAGGAGCGGGTCAAAATGGCCATCACGGCATTTGCTGAACAGGTGCGTGAATCCTCACACAGGCGTTTGTTGTTCTAAGTGTCATTGGATGTTGTTTATAAGCTGTAGAGGATGTTGAGTTATCTGCTCATCAGAGCTAATAAAGGACAGGGACCATTTTCATTTAGCTACTAGGCACGGGTCATTGCTAAGTACAATTTTGCTTAGTACAAACAGGCTACCATCCGAATACTAGTCCATGTGTATTGCTTGTGACTGGTTAGTTGCTGATACTTGCTAAGCACTTAAACTTAGAGACCCAAGGTTTCTATGGTTTTGGAGAATCCTGGAAAAAAATGGTCCTGGGAAGTCATGGAGAAGTCATGAGAAATTCGGGAAAAATAGGGTGTCCTGGAATCCTGTTGTCAGAGGAAACTTAGTCATGGAAACAGTCGTGGAAATTAAGATCATGCAAGGGTTATTTTGGATTGGTTGCTTTTGATGGGATAATGGAATAATGATAAATTTACAGGCTGTCCTTGTCAAAATCAATAGTATTAGCTGTGACAGTTGTCCAGTTTACAGTACCAAACAACCTTTCTCTGCGAAGTAGCGTTACATGTTATGAAAATTGTCATATTTCAGTCCTGGAAAGTTCTGGAAAAGTCACATATCCAGATCATCTGGCTGCGGCTTTTTCAGGCCCTTGTTTTTTCTCTCTCTTTGCAAACCAACAGGGTCTGAATGCCGCCCTGTTCTACGAGAACCCAGACACCAAGACGTACGTCTCCCTGGTGCCCACGTCTGCCCATACAGGGGATGGCATGGGCAACCTGATTGCCCTCCTGATAGAATTCAGCCAGACAAAGCTAGCCAAGAGACTAGCCTTCTCTGAAGAACTGCAGTGCACAACGCTAGAGGTCCGTGCTGTTAAACCTGAATGAAGATTTCAAGGTTTAGTTTGTTGGAGCAGGTGTCAGTGTTGGGAATATATGGCTTGATCCTTCATCTAATACAGCAATTTAAATGTCAATACAGTATTTACCGCTGGAAATCTTGGCTACCTTTTCCAGGTTTTTTCAAATGTACATGCTAATGAAAATTGCAATCATACCGCACCAAAGGAGCGAACATTATGCTGCATACTTAACACTGCAAATCACTAACTACTCATGGACTTGCAATCTCCCCTGACATGGTGTATTTGACAGTGAACGTAGAAACGCCCGATGAGAAAAAGACTTGTGATCTTTGTGTTCTCAAGGTGAAGTCGCTACCAGGTCTCGGGACCACGGTGGATGTGGTGTTGGTGAACGGTCGGCTTCACGAAGGCGACACCGTGATTCTAGCCGGTCAGGAGGGACCCATCATGACACCAGTCAGGGGCTTGCTCATGCCGGAGCCCCTGAGAGAGCTCAGAGTGAAGGTAAGATGCAGACTCTAGCCATGTGTAATGACTCCAATCACCAACTTGGAATGACTGAAGTCACCAGTCCCCAAATGACTCAGTCAGCAGCGGAAATGACGTGATTTGACCCAGACTATTTCATTTTCAGGCTCTAGGCTGTCTAAAACAAGAAGTACTTGTAAAGTTTTAAAAAAATTGTAGGATGATTTTTATGACCATCGTTATCAGGTTCTGTTATGAATTGTGATGTTCATAAATTAAAATGGTAATGTTCAGTTGAGAATTGATTGAACTCCTTTTTTATTTTCATCATAAGCCAAATATAATATGGGACTCAACGCAAGCAACAGGCCTGACTCTACTTGATGTTATTGTTGAATGATTTGACTGGGGACTCAAAGGCAATGTGGGCCAGCTCTGTATTGAGATTGCAAGAACAATTATGCTTCCAAATCTCACTCCAAGACTGAGCAAACTTGACACACTGCTTCACAGTCATTTGTGTGAGCTTTTGTTTTTCTATACCTTGGTGGAACAATTTCACTGGGGGTCAAAAGGGCATTGTCAGACACTCTTAACTCTCAAAAAGAACAGCCGTATTTAAATTGTGGGTGACCTCAAAATCACGGATAGGTTGAGGTTTACTTGTCCAGGTTTTACTGGTCTTGTGGCACTTTGAACTAAAGACCCAAGTGCAAGATTCACATGGAAGAAAACCTGAGCCTCCTTAGCTCTTTAAGCCTATCCCCCAGGGACCATTGAAATCCTGCATAACCTTGTTGGGTTCAGCATGGTTAGGGCTAAGCCCTGAAAAGTTACAGCATTATGTTATTGTCATTGTTGCAACCAGTTTCCGATGTCAGATATTTATTCTCAATATTCTGCATGTCTCTGCCCCTCAGAATCAGTATAAGAAGTTCAAGGAGGTGATTGGAGCTCAGGGAGTCAAGGTACTAGCCAGGGACTTGGAGAAGGCTCTAGCTGGCATGCCACTGCTAGTCGCTCAACATCCCGACGAAGTCGACGCACTTAAGGTATGGATGCCTCTGCTGTTTTTAGTTGAGTTCCTTTTTTTGTTTCTAGCTGCCACGTATTTAGTCAAATTCCAATATTCAAACTGCGGGTAAATACCAAAGCCACCTCAGTTTCTTTGCTCACACTTCTTCCAAATTAAACTGTTTGGGTTTTTTTTTGGGGGGGGGCTTTCTGTACCCTGTCAAAGCATTCTAGTAGTAGCTTAAGTGGGGCTTTTGAGTTCTTATCCCCTCAAGTTACAACATGGTATTTACGTGTCATTTATAAACAATTCTGTTACAGTGTGCAGATGGATTTGGTAAGGTTAAAACCTTGATACCTGTCAGGGCTTAAACTGGTTCCCTGATTTCATACAGTGAGGACAGGCATTGGCCAGTATTTGAGATTTCACTGGTTACTACCAATTATAAGGATTCTTCTGTTTCATGCTCACACAAACCCAGCTTGAATGTTGATCAAGGCTCAGATGCAGTACCATTGGTGTGTTTGCACACGGTCTGGAAGAGGTTGAAACTAGAAAACTGAAATAGCACCTAAGCCATTTTGTCGGAGTCTGTCTTAAGACAACAGTGATCGGTGTAGCGAGGATTCATTCGAGCACTATGCAGTGCTTGTAATGGAAGTGGCAAGAGAAGTCTCCTTGCCAACTCTGATCTCAGTTGTTTTTCCTCCTCAGGACGAGGTAGCCCAGTTACTTAAAGAAGCATTGACTTCCATCAAACTGGCAGACCTAGGGGTGTATGTCCAGGCTTCCACACTAGGATCCCTAGAAGCTCTCTTGGAGTTCCTCAAAACCTCTCAAATACCAGTGAGTAAAGCTTAACTACTCGGTGCCGGGGTTCTGGTATGGGGTACCTTGAGTTTGTATGTGAAGCCGGACAAAGGAGCTGGGCCTTGTAACAAAAGACTGCACTCGGAACAGAAGACCGAGCTGCTGGGAATGGCCATCATTTTTCAACTGTCATTAGCGGAGGTAATCCGTCATTGTTTTGAAACAGTTTACCACTGTTTGCGGCATTCAACGCCCGTAGATTATCAGTGGGGACAAAAGTGCTCCAGCAATGGGTGATACAGTACTGCTGCACTGCTGGAAGGTTTTCTCTTACAGTCTGTGTAGAAGACATTCTTTACATGGAACACCCATTGAGCAGATTTCAAACTGATCCTTTTCATGCACCATGCATCCTGAATTTGAATCATGCAAACAACATCTTATGTATGTTTGTTTTCGGACAGTATGCTGGTATTTCTATTGGACCGGTTCACAAGAAAGATGTCATGAAAGCATCGGTCATGCTGGAACGCGATAGCCAGTAAGTACATTTTGAACCTGTCAGTCATGCCTATGTACACAGATAGCCGGAATGTGTTTACATGACCTCCAGTGCAAAGTAGTCTTAGAACTCATGCATAAGTATAGAGCACCGAAGTGTGGCATCATTTGAACCAGGAAGTGTAGTGCAAGGGAATGGAGTATGCATGCATGCGTGGTTCACGCGGTGGTTCTGGCACTAATACCTTTTGCAAATTTTGTTGTGCATGTGACGTATCCACTTCAGTGCTCTGTAGAGCCACCGCAGTAATGGAAGTCCTGTGATCAGTCCTCAAAGTGACCGAGTCATTGTGGTTTGCTTTACCATGTAGGTACGCGGTCATCCTGGCCTTTGACGTCAAGGTGGAGCGGGACGCCCAGGAGATGGCGGACCGGGAGGGCATCAGGATCTTCACGGCCGACATTATCTACCACCTCTTTGATAAGTTCATGGCCTACCGGGAGGAGATGCGGCAGCGGCAACGAGAGGAGAACAAGCACATCGCCATCTTCCCCTGCAAGCTGCGTATCCTGCCGCAGTACATCTTCAATGCCCGCAATCCCATCGTGGTGGGCGTCAACGTGGAGAGTGGCATCTGCAAAGTGGGCACACCCATCTGTGTGCCTTCCAAAGACGTGAGTTTGGGGCGGTACCCTCCTAGGTGGAGAGGAGAGCAAAGGTTTTACCAAAGGTTTTGTTGTGGTGTTGGCCATACAAAGATTAGATATATTCCTTAGACTTTGAATGCTATTCACTCAACTGGTTAATGGATCAGTGTGCTATTATTTTTCCTCTCTGTCTTTTTCTGTTCCATACGGGCAAGGACCGTATTATTGTTCATTACTAGAGGTTTTGATGAATTTTTGATAAGGCAAAGGTTAAGGTCATTATGGTTAGAACATAAGAAATCATTTTCCCTCCATAAGTCAAGAAATATTCAACATCAACTTCAAATTTGCCATGTGGGTTGGTCTTTAATGTCATATGGAAGCCTATTGAATAGAGACTTCATAGTAGACGGAAGTCATAATTGTTACAACAATAGAAGTTTTTAAAGTCATGGGTTTAAGCACAGGTTTAACGGGGCATTTGTGTTTGTTAACACTTTATTCTTGTTTTCAACCTGTGCAGAATATCAGCACAGGCTTAACGGGGCATTTGTGTTTGTTAACTGTTTATTCTTGTTTTCAACCTGTGCAGAATATCAGCACAGGCTTAACGGGGCATTTGTGTTTGTTAACTGTTTATTCTTGTTTTCAACCTGTGTAGAATATCCTTCTTGGGGCAATATCAAGCATAGAGGTCAATCACAAGGGTGTGGAGCTAGCCCACAAAGGCCAGGAAGTCTGTGTCAAGATTGAACACACAGGCAGCGGTGACGCACCCAAGATGTACGGTAGACACTTTGACAGCCAGGACCTTCTCATCAGCAGGGTAGGTATGATTGGTCTGGACATGTGTGAGGACATTGGGTCCTCAGTTGGGACCCCGTTCTCAGTTACAAATTGCTTACCAATCAAATATGGGCAGGTGTAAAAAGCTTAGAAATGTAAGCATGGAAACCCATTTAAACAGACGAGTGGTAATGGAAGCCTAATTTAATCAAACATGATGGTTTCTTGTGGGATTGCTTATAGTGGGAATGGATAAACCACACAATAGAGAGATGAACCAGTGTCTTTCGGAACCTGAGGATTTTTCAAAGGTACCGCGTTGCGACAGCATGTTCAGGCCAGTCAGCAGTCTTGTCACAGACCAGCTGGCGTGGTTGAGCACTTCCCTCATTCCCACCTTTGATTCTTACTTTGAAGTGCAGTCATTGAGGAAGTCCGTAATTTGCACACTGAGCTGATTTCTGTCTTGTCTGTAAATGCACAATATCGTTTGCACTTGAAATTTGCCACTCATTTCAAGCAGCAAGGTGTGCGTTTTGCAGCATGTCCTGATTTCTGTGATTCTAACTTTTAACTTGCAGATATCCCGCGAGTCCATCAACGCAGTCAAGAAATACTTCCGAGATGACCTGGAAAAGGCCGACTGGCAGACAATGATAGAACTCAAGAAACTCTTGGGAATCATATGAAGAAAAACAGACTCAGTGCTGCCTCCCGATCTAACCTGGAAATCTCCCGCTACAGATTTGTCATCAAAACGGTTCTACAAGGTGCAGTACAGAACATCTGCAGACAACATTTGTGACTGAACACAGGAACTATGTAAAGGAGGCGTGGGGGAGACAGTAAAGCTGTGGATAATAGGAAATGAAAAGAAGCAAGTCTTGATAGTTGTATGGAAACCCCAGGAAGGCTACAACACTACCTGTGAAACAGATGATCAGTGAAATTTCAGTCACAATGATGACTCTTGTGAACTTGAGAAAAAGGCAGGGCACCATCATGGGCAACTTTGATTTGGTGTTAGCCTTGACATCACACTAACAGCATACCATCATTTGATCAGTGCTTCCTGGAAGACTTATAAAGGCATTGAGTCAGATGGGAGACAGATTGATGGAGGCACATTTTGAATGGAGATGATGCTATGTGAGGCAAACACCAAAAAACAGGCATGAAACATGGAAGATGGTTCTGCCAGCTTTCCAGTGGAGGGCAGAAATGAAGCAAAGAGAACTGTGTGCTGCTCATAATCTGAAAAAATAGCATAGATTTGGCTTCGTTTATTTCCTGTCACAGAATAGCATGTCCTTTGCTCGTAACTTTTACATAGACATGTTTAACACGCAACAGAAGTCATGGGTGGAGTCGTAGGGGAACTTAACCTGGGTATTTCTGGTCCAGAGAAGTAAGGACAGTCTGATTGAGGATGGGTTTCTTCATATTGTCCTTCAATTTAGATTGGACGACCTTCCCAACATTGAGATTTTGTGTGTCTTTGATTGTTGGATGCACATTTTCAAGGAGATATACCCTAAAGGGGTGAACTTTTTTCCGTGAAATTAGATTCTGTCTTCTTCTGTTTTTATCGCTCTGAATTATTTGGGATATTTTCTTACCTCTGACAAGGATGGTCTGTTTCTTGACCCTGTTATTGTCACCTTGTTTGGTCTTACGATTTTTTTGTTGTGTGCAGTTTAATTCAGTGGCCATTATGTATTGCCGTTTATTCCCTATTCATGAATGGATTGCACTCCTCCATTGTGTTTCAAAAATCATGGTGAACTGCAGGAACTAGGGAATACCGAGACAGGAAAGATGCCTGAAGAGTGCAAAGTTCCTTTGTATTGAGGAAAGATGAAACAAAGCTTGGAATAAGTCGAATGTTCATTTTCTCTTCTTGCAAATGACAGCAGTATGCACTGTTCAGCCACAGTTGCATAGTCTACTCAAAGCAGAACCTAAAGTAACAAGTTCAACAGTATTTGTGCGAGTAAATAAACATTCTCAGTGTCATTTCTCTGATTGCACAAGCATGGCTTCATATTTTTAAAAACATTTCATGATCAGCTCTTAAAATTTCACCTACAGACCATAATAATGCCAGTTTTTCAGGGATTTCTTGCAGGAAATGGTGCTAGGGGGCAATTTTATTTCCATATTTTTGTACCTGTAGTCATTGGCAGATCCTTTGCATTTTAAATTGTGCAATGGCAGAGCTGTGACAGCAGTGGATCAAACATGTACTGGATGATATGATAAGCACCACTGTGTAATGATATTTTTATGTAAATTTGTGGAGGGGAAGGCCCCACATCGATCTCTCTGTTGTTTATGAGGTGGGTTTTTTTTTTAACGAGACACCTCCAATTCAAAAATTTACAGTGTGTTTACTTCTCTTTCCTTCATTTTTGCGTGTAACCCCCAACACCTGACATTCTGGTACTGGCCAAAACCGATCATGTTCTGTGGATTTTAAAACCTCAATAGATTGAAAGAAGCATCATAATTAACCAACTGGTTTGAGAGTGTGCTAATCTATCTCGATGTATCACCCCCTCAAGTTACCCACTCGTGCCTTACTCCCCACGTTTGTTTGTTTTTTCTGATTTAGGGTATTTATGCTTTTAATCGTTATATGTTAACCATGTTGTCAGCTGAGAAGATTGTTGAAAGTTCTTTAACCGTTGCTGAAACACTGCTTTATGTGGTTTCCATTGAACGTGACACAGAATTGTATAGTCCCCGTTCCTGGATCTTTAATAGACCTCTTTACTGATGATGCCACACTTGGTGTTTTTCTGTGATGCTCTGTGGATTGTGGTCCCCAGTGGCTGCATAGAAAAGTTCATACATAAAGAAGTGTGACATCATCAATACACAGGCCTCTTGGATCTTCTTCCAGTGTCTTACTGTTAAACACTGCAAAGAGATAGATATATATTTTCTAAAACCCTCAGGCTCACAAACATTTGTCTACATCTGTAAATTTCAAGATGACGCAGCAAACGAAACATGTCTGCATCTTTGCTTTTAAGACAGGAGCAAGTTGAAGTTTAAGACAGAAGTTGTTAATAATAAACAATGCTATATGAAAAAATAATAATCAGTGTTTGAATATACTTTACGGGCTATTGTGTTGACCGTCAGCAATTCGTGAGCTTTAAATTTATTTTCTGTTTTATTGTTTTTGGGGGGCGGGCTTTGAAACATTCCTTAACAAATGAAATGAAAAGACAAAAAAGTACAAAATGCCTGTTTTCAACTGCTATAAAGGTGTCAGGATATTCCAAAGTGAAATTGCAATGACTACATGGGGCGAAATCAATATGCATGATTTATGTACAAGGGCAGATTTCAGCTCAAATTCATTTCTTTTCTTCCCAAATTGTGTAAAAAATTGCCTCACTTCACTCCCTATAAAGACCACAAAAGGCTATATGAAATTTCCAAAATTCCCCTCCCCCCGCAAAAAAAGCAGCTTTCCACCTGCTCGCAGATTTAGTTCAGGATCCGCCCTTAACTATGTTTGAGGAAGTGAAGCAGTTTTCCATATCCATAAATTTGTATCAAAGCATCTTTTAGGGGCAGAATGCGAATTTTAAGTCTCAAGAAAATGACAGTCGTACCCAGCCTCCCTGATCGCGGTTTTACCCTGTGACCTAACCACGCGCCCTCCTGATCAAATCAAAGCGGTCGTTGTAAAAAGCGCCCTCATGCATTAAGCGCCGCTGTCTGCCTGTACATCCGGGATCTTTCTCTTTTATTCCGTCTGTCAAGATGGCGGCTCAAATCTCTAAAAAGAGAAAGGTAAATCGGCCTAAATTCTCATTATCTTAAACAAAAATAAAAGAAATACTGGCTCTAAAATAAATAATAAGCACCTAGTTACTGGAAGGTGTTTTTTGTTTTGACTGATGATCCTAATTAAGCAAAGATTCTGGGCGATTTTTTTCGTCATGCGTTAGTGCACTAACCGTGACTGCAAGTTCATTTAGGTTAGGCCTTAGTAAAGCCTTTGCTTTAGTTTGTGAACGAAACAAAGTTTTCCTTGCATGCTTTTTCCTCCTGAAAGCATATTCAGCTCTTCTTGCTTGTGAGTGAATGGTTCAAACAAAGTCAAGTGTTGAATTTCAAATGCAGGGGAGTGTTGACTTTCAAAGAAGTAGGCCTAAGTCCATAAAATGGAGGGCAAGAAGTAACCCCGCCTAGTGTGGCACGGATCACTCCCGATTTATCTTTAGCCACATATCCGTCTACGCAAATTCCAGTCAGCGTATTGAACATTCCGGCGCACCCACTTATCATCGTGGGTGCAATTTCTTTTGCACACGAACACGATTCTTGACCTTTCCGCTTTCTAAAAACCATTTATTGAATGATTTCACTGACGTTATTCAGGTATTTTCCAGTCTTTTTGCCTTTATCCATTCAATCTAATGGGCTCGCCCTCTCAGTCGCCATCTTTAAAACAAGGTCGTTGAGCATTACGTCACTTGACCCCTCATTGTCTCAACAGCTGTTCCATGTCAAGACATATTTACACGGACTGAGCAATAAGATACTACATGTACCAATGGGCTCTTCCAAAACTTTGGCAGCAGTTTAGTTATCTTGACATGGAACAGCCGGGGCTAGGCAAGAAGTCTCTTAGTCTTAGTTCTTTCATGTCTTGAAAAAGGCCATTCCCTTCGCTGTGTTCGCTTCGGCATGCTATATCAATACCAACCGTAGTTTGATAACTCAGACGTTGCTTAAAGAGTGACCTGTTCAGGTCTTGTAAAACTAGCTCAGGTCTATTCAGATTTTTCAGATATTAGACCTTTTGTCCAGTGCTTATTTTCACAAACTGCGAGCCTTGAAATACATTGAATTGTTCCACGCAGTTCGTAGCTGATGGAGTGTTCAAGGCAGAACTGAACGAGTTCCTGACTCGTGAACTTGCTGAGGATGGTTACAGCGGCGTGGAGGTGCGTGTTACCCCAACGCGTACCGAGATCATCATCATGGCCACTAGGACACAGAACGTGCTTGGGGAGAAGGGTCGTCGCATCCGAGAGCTGACAGCTGTGGTGCAGAAGCGCTTCAACTTTGCCGAGGGAACTGTTGAGGTAGGAGCGTTAACATGATGTAATTTTTCAAAATAAATGCTTGTGTTGGGGCTACAGTTGGGGCTTTTAAATTGTTAGAAATTTGTTTTTGAACAAATATTATTTGACCGTATGTATCTCCAAGTCTGCATCTGGGATCAAGTTTTGATTTTCACTTTTGTTCACTGTTCACTTCTGGGTTCTAGAAAAGCATGGAAACTAATAAACCCAATCAATAACCTGTTGAATTAATTAATTCATAAATTCATAGTTAACTGATGTCTTATCACTGTAGCTGTATGCTGAGAAGGTTGCTACCCGTGGTCTGTGTGCCATCGCACAGTGTGAATCACTGCGCTACAAGCTCATCGGAGGCCTGGCTGTCAGAAGGTATGTTTTACACAGGTCTGTCCCCACACCAGGAATGTATGCGGAGGGCCTGTTGAAGATATGTACTAGACCTGGTCACTCATATTTCTTAGCCTTGTGCAAGTCAATCAGGAAATAGACTTGTCAACAGAGTTTCAACTTTTTATGTTTTAATTCATATAATGTACTTTACTTGACCATTATTGTTTTGCCATTTGGAGCCCCAATTTTCACAGATTTGTACGTTGATATCTTTTTATGATGGCAGCAGCCCTGACATGTGATGTCCTCAGAATTAAAGAAACCTTTCGTTGTGAGGTTTTGTGATTTACATTGCACAAAATTTTTGTAACGCTTAGAACTTGGAAGTAACTCTGGTGGCTTTTGACTCATGATGTTGGGATGGGTCACAACTATTAACATCTGTCGTTTGTTCTTACTCAGGGCGTGTTACGGTGTGCTGCGGTTCATCATGGAGAGCAATGCTCGGGGATGCGAGGTGGTGGTCTCAGGCAAGCTGCGTGGCCAGAGGGCCAAGTCCATGAAGTTCGTGGATGGCCTGATGATTCACAGCGGTGACCCCGTCAACGAGTATGTGGACACAGCCATCCGACACGTCATGCTCAGGCAGGGTGAGTATATGTACATTGTACATGTATATGGTGGATTGTGTTTGTGGTCTGTTATCCACGATAGCTCTTCTGTCACCTTTAAGTGGGGTTTATACAGGCCTTCAACTTTTCCTCTAGCTGATTTTCTCGTTTTACATGTCGCACAAGCTGTTCCAAATTGAAAAGCACTCTACAAACGCTTGTGCAGTTTGGAATTTCTGCATTTTTTCTGAAATCCCTCTGGCATGCCAGTTACAGAAACACAGCTTAGTATCTGTTTACCCTAATTTACCCTGTAAGATTTGTGAAATCCATGAGGAAGTTAGGAAACAATTTCTGTAAGTTGGAAACATAATCAGATGACCCTATAGCCAGTAAATGTCAACATCTAAACATTCCTTTGCAGGATCTTCAATTTGTATGATTTGCACTTGGTCCAGTAACGAAGATGAACAGAATATTTAACCCCAATACTTCCCCCTCTGCAGGTGTGCTGGGCATCAAGGTCAAGATCATGCTGCCCTGGGATGCCACAGGCAAGAGCGGGCCCAAGCGGCCGCTGCCCGACGCTGTCAGTGTGGTGGAGCCCAAGGAAGAGGAGCTGCCCACCCAGCCCTACTCAGAGCAGAAGGGTGTCAAGCCCATGGAGGCTGTGGCCCAAGTCCAGCCCCAACCGCAGGTGCCCGTGGCTGGTGCCATGGTACCCCCTCAACAGCCTCCAGCACCTCAGATGGCTTAAGATGATGGCCTGCCCTGAGGTGAGCAGAATTCACTTCACTCTCATGCACCTGTTTTTCCGTCATTCCCCACCCTAGGCTGCGTTCTCTAAGCTGAAGGGTTTGTGACAATGAAAGTGACAAATCCCTACCCCACAGACAGCTGTATATGTAAATGCCCGTGGTGCAGGTGTTGATGACAAAAAATTCTCTGTCGCTCTTTCAAGTCTGTCTGCATCTTGATATATTGGCATACTGGCGATGGTTGTTACAGTCATTGGAAATTAACCTTAATTGTTATAATGATGTATTCAATTATAATGAAATATTTAAGTATCGAAACTGTGTCAGTACCTGGCATGATAGTCACAGTTGAGTACCTTTTGGAGTTCCTCTTGGGATCCCATTAAGACTTCAGTTGCATCCAAATTGCTTGACCAATCTACTTGTTTCAGAGAGCAAGTAATAGTACTTTGAGGCAAGCTTATTTTAATAACTTGGATTAACCCTGATCCACGAGGGTGTTTAGGCCAGAAACTCTGCGATGAGCAGGAACATTGCTCAGTTTTCAAAGTGAGTAAATTACGCTCAGTTTAACAAGGACCAATGAGTGTAATGTATTTCTTAATTTAGATCCCTTTTTTTTCCTGTTTTCTCAACACAGATCAAGACGCGGGATATTAACTGGAAATGCTAACAGTACCGATCACCAACTTGGAGCGTATCAACGGTGTGGGCTCAAGCTTTTAATGTGATGCTTGTTTGCAACAACCAACCAGCAAAAACTCAACCCAAGAACCACGATGTAATTTTGAAATAATGGTTCCATAATCCCGAGTGGATTGTACCAGGAACAAGCCGCAGACTGACAAACCAATATTGAATAAATTAACAAGGTTTCTGTCAAAGTAAATTCAGTGTCTCCCGAGTGTTTTTTTTCCTTCCTTATGTCTTGTGTACTGTGTATTTAGCAAACAATACATGGACTAAAACATAAAAGCCAATAAGGGTTTAAATTTAAAGGTCTACAAATGCAGCCATGCATATAATTAAATATGGTTTGAAATTTTCCGGGGGCTTTTTGAATATGACTTGACCCTTTTAAGAATTAGTGGTGGCAGTTTCTATTTCTTTAAAACAGTTCCTGGGAATATAAGTAGACCCTACTGATTCAAAGAATTCGTTCAAATATGAAGGGGCAGGCATGTGGAAGGAAAATGGAATTATGAGCTGGAGTGCAAATTTGTTGGGAGGGGGCATTGACCAGGGACGTCCGTCTCGGGCTTTCACAAACCTCATGGAAACGCCTGCAGGGGCTTTTTAATCATGCAGAACGGCCTGCATGCGCCAGGCTGGACTAAAATGGGCCCTACCTAGCTTTGTGATCCACCTGGAGCAAAACCTTTCACCTAAAAAGGGATGAAAGTACTGATGTAAAAAAGAGGCGCAGCCCAAAACTGAGAGACTTCTGAAATCGGGATTTGGAATAAACCGTTCTCTTTTGGCCGACACACTTTTCATGCAAATGAGAAGTTTTGGTTTGTATAATTCCAATTTGTGAGTTTCCAGCTTTTAATTGATGAATTGATGACATTTGGGGAGTTATCACTTTCGACGATCGGTAATTTTAGGGGTATACATGTATTAAAGAAATATGTTGTGGGGACAGCCAACCAACGATTTGTTCAGCTGTTGAATCCCAATGGTAAGTAAGTTTCTGTCGCTAATAGTATCAATACCTGTGCGTTTCTAATACAGATTTAGAAGATTAACTGCATCGCATCAAATCGCCCGTTTGTGTCTCTACACCCCCTCTTCAAAAATGCATCCACCCACGGGTGCATATGATGTTAGTCTGGTTCCATTCTGTGCGTACCTCTTATACACATGGACAGATAGTGGGTGCTTCTACTGTGCATGCCATTGCGCATTGCATTCAATTTTTAGGCGCTAAATGTGCACGTGACGCAAAATGGAAAAATGTCGCCACGTTGTTCGCAGGAGGGAGAAACAAATTAAACTGGTAATTTTTTACAGTCGAATGCGCTATATTATCTATCATGTATTGTTCATAAATGGTGAAATGTGTGTTCTCCTATAACCAAGCATAATTTTAGCCAAATACAAGTTCTTGTGAATATTTACGACATTGCAGTTCGCCTTAAGTTGTAGGTGTAGCGTTAGCATTATCGCGGTCGAAGGTTGTTCGAATTATTGCACTCAGGGCTGGATAAAGGGGCAGCTCTCCATTCACTTTGTACAGGGATTTGCATGTTTTCCTCAATTTTTGCTGCATTTATAAAAGTAACTGAAACCTTTTTGGTATTGTGTGGAAGATATTCGTTGTGCATAAACAGTGAAATTTCGGGCATAGGGCCTATTTGTTGGAAAGGTTAAGAGTTCAGTCAATAATAATTCAGATTTTCCTAACACACCACAACACTATTTTTGCCCCTTTGTGTTTCGAGTGGGAAATATGGCCACCAATTGACCAATCAGAGAAAAGAATCAATACTCATTGATGTCATCACGACCACAAAAACGGTTAGACTAGTGTGTCAAGCCCCGCCCAACCCAGTACCTGCAATTGCGACAAGCAATGTTTAAATGGTTGGATATTTTTTTTTTCAGTTTACCATAAATGCCCTCAAAACATGCTGGGTTTGATAATAAAAGACATTGGATATGAAAGATTTAATTTCTTTCGCACAAACCATAAGGCCGAGAGGTAGTTTCCCAGACTGGAGTGAAGTGGGGACTTTGGCAAACGTCAGTCGCTTAAATAGTCATTCTTTTCCACTTTGCATGAATTTTAATTGTTCTCAGGGGAAGAGTTCCATAGACAGACGCCAGTAATTATTCCCTACAGTGACCTATTAGCCATCAGAAAGCCAAAAAAGTTCAAATTAGGAGAGAAAATACCAAGTCGTTTACTGAGAAAATACAACTTTTCAGACTAGTCTCATGGGATTTGTGCATGGGGTGTCAAGTGGAGTCTGTATATGGAACTCTTTGCTGATTCTTTCCTTAAATGTTTTAAAATAAAACCTCATTTCTTTCATGTGCTTCTAATGTGTAACAGTGTATATTTTTCAAAATTTTAAAGTAGACGCTCATGAGGGATGATTAACCCTAGCACTCCTCAGTCCTCCAACAGGTGAAGGATTGAGGAGTGTTAGGGTTAACCCTTCCTAACCTAATGAAACAAAATAGTGTTCAATTTTCTTTCCCATATCACAGCCAAGACTACACGAAGAACACACATGTAGTAATTTGTGTAATGTCATAACCACAGCTTCTAAATTTAAGAAAGCCAAATTCCTTGTTTCTTTCACCCCCAGATTCTTCAATAACTAAAGGGGTGCTGCTGTGTGTGCTTTACCTCATCTCGAGTTTGTGACAAGGAGTTGGCATCAAGCTGTCTGCTTTTGGAAAAGAAAAGGGGACAGACTTCCAAATCAGAAGGAGCTGAAGGCAGGACAACATATCTTGTGACTGAGGCTGTAATGGGCAGCTCCTCTGCATTTGCTATCAGGGTTAACAAAAGGTAAGTGCAACATCTGATATGGCCCAGTTCACTATAAGATGCCACTAGCATGCAGTCAGCATATTGCAAAACTTTAATAAGAATAAATATTCCATTGCAGAAAGTGTGGTTTTTATCTGAAGATTGGAACTCAAATCAGTAGTTGCTCTTGACCTCATATTTACATGTTGAATGACTTTTTTTTGGAAGTTCACCTTAGAAAAAAAAAGCTTGATTGTTTTTTTTTCCTGTGTTTGCCAAGTGTACTAGGGTTCAGAACCTTTTATCTGTTCAGCATTGATGAAGTTTGTTGATAACGCATGGCCATAAATTAATCATGTTGCAACATTACTTCTGCTTGTTAATAGTCCCCATCTATGTGTAACCTGCAGATGCAGCGCATGACTAGCCCCAAGTATACAAAATGTGACTTTTCATGGTTGATAAGTGTGCATTGTGCAAAGTGATATCATGAAAATATTACGCATGACTAAAATTGACACAAAGACTTTGAGGAGGTTTTCCTTGGTAAATATTTCTTGAGATGGGCACCTCCAGATAGTTCAAAGAGTACCAATTAGAATTTCAATGGCCAAGAAGTTCAGCTGAAAATCTGGAACAAAAGATACCTTTTAAATTTTTTTCCTTTTTTTTACTTGCTTCTTTGTTGGACATGTGGAACTGATAAAAACACTAAACTTTTGTGTTAAAAATAAACATGCAGCAAAGTACAGGGCTTGGTGCTTCATTATCATAGAATCAGCCACAGAGCTGAAAGTAAACTTAATTACCAAAGCCCTGAAATCTCAAAATAGGACCCACAGTGTGCTATTGAAAGCTCCGGGCATTATTACAAATGGAGGAAACTCAGACTAAGCAGGTTTTGAAGACCTCTTAGGAATGAATATTCATTCAGTATTCCAATTTGCCCAATCAACATTCCCATGTCTTTTCACTCATTGCTGTATTGCAGTCTTGGAATAACATAACAGTTTCGATTCCCTGGTAGTATGTTAGATACTTTTGGCGACCACTTAGCAGCACTTCCCACCTAAAACTTACAAATCCTCCAGTTTCAATACAATTTTATATACACCCTTGCGGTTAGGGTTAAATGTTCCCTTGTTTTCTCAAGGGTTGAGTAATTCAATTGAGTCAAAGTGTATTGCTGCAAACAGTGAAATTGTGGTCGGGCCATAGTATCTAATAGCACCAGAGCCAACACTTTGACTTTCTGCAATGAGTCTGAGACCCTCTCTTGCTCCCTGAAAACCTCACAAAGCCTTTTAATATCTTTCTTTCCATCACCATCCTACAATTTCTGTGAACTGTCTCTTAAATGATAGCTTCACTGTATATTGAGGAACTCAATTTCACAAGTGGCATCACTTCAAAGACTCTGTGCAAAATCCAAACCCTCCAAATGAGAGAGTTTCCATATTTCAGTCAAGCCGAGGAAAGATTTCTTCCCAATAAATCTTTTGAAAAACACACATTTTCTATGCTCTGTGCTAATCAGTCCCTCTGTTAAAAGTTTGGGGATCACACTCATTTACCAACCCATTAAATTATCTCTGAAATTCCTCGATCTGTTGTGATTGATGTGAAATATACCTACAGATGCTTCATATTTCCTGATATATTACAATTGAAGCTGATCCAGTTTTTCGCTCTTTGAAAAATGCTGTGATGTCTCAGATCTGCTCTTTACATTCAACCTGTCACTGTGGAATTCCGCTGATTTCCGCTCATATATCATTAGCCCAAGAAACATCTCAAATGAATGCAGATAAAATTATGCGCTGTCTGAATCTATCAATGTATGGCCCCACTGTCCTAGCAAAAAAAGCCTAAATCCACCACAGTTAAAGCACAAAAATTGCTCAGTTTTTCTCAATTGAATTGATTTTACATAGTGGTTATTCCCACTGTGCATGGATCTATTGAAATATGGGTGCAAAAATGCCCCTTAAATTAATTTCAGATCTTTCCATCATTTCACAGTCACTTGGTTGTCACTGTCTTTCAACTGACTTTCTTTGACTGGTGATGTGCTTACTTGATGCTTTCACAAAACTTCCCAAACCACTTCTGTCTTATATCTTGTATGTTAACTTATCCTTCACACATTTTGCCCTGCTATACCTCTTTGAAATCTTTTTGATTTCTTCCCTGTTTTTCAAGTTCCTTCTTACAGTGTGTACCAACAAAGCATAATGTAATAACTTTCCCATAGAGTTATTCTTACACACAATGCCTTTTCTACCATAAATTGAATATTTTATGATTGAAAAAATGACGCTTTGGGGCTCTCCTTTTTTCCATGTCTTTCTGTATGACAAAAAGTTTTAAATGCATTTACATGATGTATCAAAATCAATTCATGGTGCTATCCACCAAGACAGTTCTCCACATTGTTCACTTTTTCAAATTTTGACTTATTTATTCCTTTTTTTCCTTAATTTATCTTGTATGTGGGAGCAAAGTCCACTCACCAACTTACAGTAATATTGCAAGACACTAATATCAAAAACCAACAATTATCAGTGTTTTTGCCCTTTTACTGTCTTTTCTATTGCAATGCGATATTTCCTTTCAGTTCCCACGATTTGGGACCTTTTGACTTGAAAGTTTGGGGACCATACTCACTTAGCAGCCCATTGAACTATCTCTGAAATTCTTCAATCTATTTTTTTTATACTACTCATTCCATGTACAAACATCTTGCCTTTTTTCACTTTCATGAACCATCAAAGGTTCTTTCATTCTCTATCACTTAAGGGCTTCACTTCCATCTACACATTTGTCTCTGCTACATAGCATCCCATCCTAAAATGTTTGTTTCTGCCGTCTCAATGCATACTTTGGCTTTTTTCCTGAAACCATGTCATCTAAAGCATGTCTGGCTTTCTTTATTGAACAAAGTTTTAACAAATACATGTACATGTAATAACATGCATCAAATTTTCCATGCACCTGTTACCTCTCTTGGCCTTGGGATTGCCAGCCAAACCAAAACGAAATTACCACTGAATCTCCTAGTTCAGGAAATCATTAAATCTGCCTTTAGCTGTGTACATGAAGCTATATTCAAATTATCATTGGTTGTCTCAAAAAGAGACGTAATGATGTTGTTTTCAAATATTTGATTCAACATAATATGATGAATTCTGAACAAGTAGCGTGCATATAAATGTCTACATTTGCAAATCATTGCTTGTTAATTAATAACTATATGAAACCTTTTCATGAGTGCACAAAACATACTTTTTCCTGTGACCTAATTCCCCCCAAGGAAATGTATGTGCATCCAAGAAAAGGATGACAACTGATTGTAAAAAGTACACTTTGACTGTAAACCCTTCCCTGTCTGGTTTTGTATACTCATGAAAAGGACCAACAGAAACCAGATCGCCAAAAAATGGACGGGAGTTTTGTTTTATGATTGTAATTCAATGGGTGGTCAGTAATCCTGATTATTTGGAGTATTTCTGGTCTGACAAAAAAAAGAAAATATGTATGAACAGCTGATGTTCAGCTCATATTTTGCCATCAGTGAGGTTATACCAGAAAGTTTTTTGTTGGGGGAGTGGATGGTTGAAGAAGGTTTATCGATCAATGTAATGACAACATTGTGATGTGCTGTGGTGACTATGTTATGATGTAAAACCTCTTATCCATATTCAGTTGGAAGTAGCACTTATATCACTGTCCAAGAATTTCAAATATGTACCATCAATTCTGTTATGCAAGTGGTTAGCAAAGTCTTGGTGAGACTCATATGACTCCAAATTCTGGTCATCATATTGTCACCGGTTTCAAGAAGAGACAAAAGTTTCACCAGAGTATGAATTAGGTTTTGAGAAAATTGAATGTGAAGTTGGTCTCTTTTCATATACAATTAGCATTCCTTTGATTTAACCAATGCAGTACCATGGGTTCTTGCAGATGGGATCTTACATGTAAATGAGTAAAAACTACCAAAATAGCATGCAGCAAGGTATGAGACGGAGAGAACCCCCCCCTGCTTTGTGTTGGTCATCGTATCGCAGGAATCTGGGGAATTCCTTTCAGACATCTTGGGGGGATGTGTTAAGTAACAATAGTCTGGAATGTGTGTAGGGATTGGACATGTTGGGGGGGTACCCCTCGGTCTCATTTCTTGCTGGGTATACAAAATAATATTATTCAAAGTTAAGTGAACTTTTTTTTGGCAAACGAACACATTAGTCTGTTCGTGAAATGCTAAAATTCATGTGACTTTTGTGTCGTCTTGAAAAAGGACATACTGTACATGCTTTTGTTGTAGCACATACTAGGTGCAAAAGTGGTACATTTGTATACATTTCCGCGGTCAAAATTGTCTTTGTGAAAATGGTTTTGCCTTTTATTGCTAATGTTGTATCTATGAAAGACAACTGGTCTCTTGGTGAAAACAAAAAATGCAAATTAGTTGAATTTTGCCTCTCTGAGATCATCATGATTTTGGTGATTTCATTAGATTTGGTAAAAATGAAAACACCAAGTGGAAGGCATCACATAGCCTATTTGATTTTTCCAAAACAAATATGAGTAAACATGATTTGGAGCCAAGTTGTCTTTTCATGAATACTCTGGTGATATACATGTATTTGAGTCAGAGTTTGTAAAAAAAGTGCTGTATTTTAGAATATTTTCATGAAAACGTTTTACAAAGTTCCCTTTAATGAACTGAACCTCATTTTTTGGTCTTTTTTTAATTAGAAGAAATACCCATACTAGAAAAGATAGAGCTACATTAATGCAGTTTTACACTTCCTAAAGGGCAGTTCTGGGTAATTTGGTTTGTTTGCATTAGAAAGAGCAAACTGAGCTCTCTCTCTCTCTCAATGTATTACTCAGTTTAGAATTTTGATTAAAAATTGACATAAGGCATGCACAATTTCTGCATTTTAATTACCCACTCTGTTTTCTTTATGTGACTGTTTTTGAGTCCATTTGTGAGTTATGCAGTGCTGTCTGTTTTTAATGGAGGGTAGTGATGAGATCTCTGACCTCACATGACAAAAAGTCTGCAAAAATGTGTTTGAAAAATTGTACTTTGTTTTATGTTTTAGTTTTTTGAGATGTAGAATCTGAAAAAAGCATTGCCTTTTGAAAGATCCTTAGAAACTATATCTTTAGTAGTAGGACTCCTCTTGTAACAGCAACTCAGTAGTTTCAACTTAACTTTTAACATTCAGGAATTTACTTTGAAACAAGCATATGTGCCTGAGTCCTTTAAAATTAATGTTTTACAAAAAAAACAAACTAGCTGTTGGGAGAAAGTTATTTATATGATGGTCTGAGTACTGTTGAATCTTGTTGCACTGGAGACATAGAGGTAGGACAACTTCGTCAGAATCTGCACAACAACCGAGGGATATCAACAATCAGAGCAGAGAAGGAAGATGTATTCATGCAGTATTCATCATGATGGCATTATTCATTGGATAGTGAGACCAAGTGCAGTAGATTGTCTTTGCAGCAGCAGGTGAAGACATGTCATATCCAAGTTTGCCTTCCAACATTCATTGCTGGGTGGTGGAAGGAGGGGATGGATGCACTTTGATGCAGTGGCTCTCAAGCCTTTGGGGATTTGTCCATCACTGGCCAGGAAACTTAATTCATCACCAGAATGGCATCTCTCGTCCCAGTGACACTCACAGACCTGTGACAGTTGATCACAATGCCATCTTTTCATCCAGTGTATGGAGAACCATGACACTCACCACAGTGGTGTCTCTTCGCCCAGTAGCAAATGAAGACAATTAGCTGTATGCAGTGCTTCATCTCAGTGACATCTCTATCCAGTATAGTAGCAAGCGCATGAGGACTGTTAACAGTTGCCTCCATCTGACATCTCAGTACCCAGCTTGTGAGAGTTGACCATGCTATGCTTCTCCTAAAGAGTAACAGGTTCTGTGTCTGCAGGCCTGAGGGGCTAGCATGTGTGTTCAGCTTGAATTTTACATTTTTCATGAGGGAAAGTGAGTGACTCAGGCTTCACAGGATCAACCATCATTGCTTTATCAGTTGTGTTACATGAATAGGAACAGGTGGAATGCTCTTTCTCTTTGGAATAGCCTCACTTCAGGGTGTCAGCTCAGCTGGCAGAGTTAGAGTTTTCCTCCTTGTTAAATGGTTGAAATACCTCTTTTGAATCATGCATCAATATTAAAAAAACAAGTCTATTATTTCAGTTGTTCAGGTGGAAAGAAAACCTTCATCAACTTTGAAGTAAATCTAATATGCATGTATTTGTATATGTTTATAAATGTTTCATTTATTTTTATAGGGTAGTGAAGCAGTGTGACCGGAATGTTGATTTATTGCTTTAAAACCCTAACAGTTCCAAATCCTCCAATTTCAATATGTGGGAGGTGGCCATTTAATAGGTGAAATTAGGGAGAAAATAAGTGAATTTCATGCTTGGCAGAGGAACGGAATGTATCACACCTTGAAATGTTCTTTCATCCTTTGTAACGGTGACAAGTGTTGTAACTTGAGTATTTATATACAGTCGAATCTCGTTAATAAGAGTACTGTTAATACAAGATTCTGCTTTAGACAAGGAAATTGTCACGTCCAAATCCTTTCATTTTCATTGTTTCCATTCCTGATAATACAAGGTTCATGTCGTAACAAGGTAATTTGCAACGTCCAAAGGACTCCTTATTAACCCTAACGGTACCAGGCGTTGTTTGGCTTAGAGTAATCAGTACTACAAAATATGAAGTAACACTGAGCCTGAAGGACCTAGCACTACAAATCACTATTTCTGGCTAGGTTTATTCCGTTGTTACTCGTACAGAGAACAATGAAACTATGCATTCATAGTGCCACCGCATTGTATGGTACATTGCCTTCTCTACTGTATTTTATGGCTTCAGAGAATAATAATGTCATGTCCTCTTACAAGGGACAGGACTGAGTACTACATTTTACTACTAAGTAGTACTTTGTAGCATTCGGGACTGTTGGGGTTAAGGAGGTTGGACTGTATGTACAAGATATAATATGTTGAAGCAATTATTGAAGGTGGTTGCTGTTTCAGGTATTCATCTTAAATGTTGATGCTGGCAACCTCAAGATCATGTTTGTTACAGGCAGAATAATGATGAAAATTTCCCAGTGAAGTGGAAGCTTTGAGCATTTTTTTTTCAGCTGAATGACCAATGTCTTTCACAGCTTCATACATGTAATTAGGTACACAGAATCATTTTGAATTTGATTTCTCTTCTTCATATTGAGAGCTATTCTTCCAGACATAAGACGATTCTAGATTCTGATGCCTAACCAACTACATGTATCTTTGATCCTTTCATAAACAAACGTAGTTCATCTTTGCCCAATTATAATTCTACCACCTTCATCAGAGCATCCACCTCAAATATCACAAGAGCTGGACATGTGATGCTTCTAATACTGGCTTCCCTCTTATAAGCCTGTCCAGGCTTTTTTGTCTTCCTAGGCTGCAGTCTATAGTCATGGTGTCTTTATTAACAATGATCTGACAGATATTCTCGACATTGTTCCCATCTTGCTTATCTTAACTTGTATACACTTGCCCAGCTTCTTTTTCTGTTAGAGACACCTTTTCTGCTTATACCTCTTATTTGTGCTTATTTCTCGCTTGCCCAATTTTTTTTTCTTGTCCATGATGTCCATTGATGTACTTTTATTTAACATGTTTATGCTTTTGGGTCTTTGGTTTTTTTTAAGTTAACACTCAAAAGTATTTTTCAGTCTTTTGTTCTTTAAATGTCAACACCTCTTACTCTTTAGTTATGATATTCAGCCATGAAATAAGACATTGCTTGGAAAAAAGTGCTTGTAAACACACACGTCTCTTCAAACTCAATCTTGAAAACCGCTGAGTGCTCCCCACCACCCCAACCACCCACTCTTGGAAAAATCCATATTTTAGCTATTAAATATTGTAAATGGTAACTAATGCAGTTTACCAATTACATTAATTCCACCCAATGTAAGGTACTTCAAGTGAGTACGGGTTTCCATCCACGAATCCTGAAACTTTACTGCAACTGGATCAAATGTTTGCGTTGAAGTGTTTACTGATTTGACCAAAACAAAGAGAACATGGTTTATATTCTTGTGGGAAATTTTAACTTTAATTTTACACTAATTTGAGGAGATAATCAAAATGGTTCCGTGGATCAGGCAGGGTGCAGGATGAATATAAAGTAACAGGCTAGCAGCCTCTCAAACCAGACATTCGCATTGGAACTTATTCCAATTGAAATCATCAATATACATGTACTGAATATGTTATTTGATTTAGCCCCTTTACCATTGATACGTTGTGTACCATTTTGCATCTACGACAAATGAAATGTTAAAGTTAGTAACCATTTTTGAAAACATCTTCCGGATTCAATTTGTGGCTGTAGTTGAATTTATGGTGGCTTGCGGAAATTCATGTACATGTCCATGTCTGCTGCTACACTGTGTACATTAATCCTACATTTGGTCACAGTGGCATCCAATCATTTATCCTGCACCCTGCCACTTTTAAAATTAAGCTTCAAATGAATGAAATTTTCTTCTTGTTTTTTCCTGCATGCACACTCAGCAATGAGTGACTGTTATGATGTAGGTTTCTTGGGCAACCCTGATGCCGACTCTGGTCTGTGATGTCGACTCTGATCTGTGATGTCTTGGGCAGTTGCTGACCTCAGCGTGGAACTGTCATCCTCAAGACTGGATAGGCTCATCTTAGCAAAGGCAAATCACAACGAGTTAACAATTTGCCCTAACTGGATCAGTACAACTTTGATGATTATTTGTACAGTAACTTTTTTCATTTCTTCTGACAAGGAACTTGAGACATGGCAGGGTACAGGATTATTACAAAATGGGTTGTGGAATTTACATGAAGAAAAACTTGGCTATTTTTCTGTCGGCAACATTAATTAAATCCTCAAAATGGAAATTAACATGATTGAGGAAGAAACATTCATCAGGTTTTAATAAAGTAGTACAAAAAAGTGAAGTATACTTTATGACAAGGCAACTGATCGCTTAATATGACAATGACCTGTTCATATGTGCACCTTGTATGTCTAAGGGCTGAAGATTTACTCAGTTGATGAATGTCACTGACAATTCTGTGGCCACCCAGGTCATTTTCAAACAGAAGAAACATCCTGTACCCTGCACCAAACTCAAACCAAATTCGGGAAAACTAATTTATTCTTGTATCTATTTTCTTTGAACAGCGTCTAAAATTCAGTATGAGCCATTGGGAAGCAAGGGGAATACACGTACAGACGCCATCTCCATCACTGAAGTCTACATGAATGTCCGATGACAACACAATGGCCTTATGGGGCTCTGGTCTTCAAGACAAGATTGATTCATCTTGAGGGAAAAGGGCAAATCCATGGCAGTAGGGGAAATACAAATTTGTCAAAGGTTGGACATGTGAAATCTGCATCACCTCCCTATTTATGCATGGTGAAGCTTGGACATGCTGACCCATCCAATGAGAGCCTGTGTGAATGAAGAGTATGGGTGAAACCATTCTGTCCACAGGGCTTTTCTACTCGTGTGGACATTTTGCAGATGGTAATTGTGCTGCAAATCCTTTACAGAGAAAACAGTGGAGTATCGCGTAACATTTAAATTGCCCTAACATGACTGTCAGAATCAACCAGATATTGGAAAGATTCCTTGCCTATTGGCCTAGGGGATCAACTGAACAAACACTACAGCCATGGATTTGCTTCTCGTTAGAATTGGTGGTTTTGAAACTAGGCACATATAAATCAAAAGCAAACCAAGTTAAGTTAGGTTTGCGCAGTTACAAATTTTTTTAAAGAGACATTCAAGATATCTAAAGAGTTTACTTTTGCAAAAAGACGAATCAAGGAGCAACACGTCATTTTCTTTTAAAGCTTTGACATTTGCCAACCAGAATTGCTACTTTTTGTGCACTGTGCGAAACGAGCAACAACTCTATCAAAGAAACTTGAAAAAGAAAAAACAGTTGTAGTAACTAATATGTGCCTGGTTTCTTTCTATTTACTTTAAATGATACAAACTATTGATCAATTTGTAATTCCAATTAAATTATTTTCAAATTAGACATAATTTCTACACTAGCACATCAAATGAAATATGCCATGGCCACTTGTAATTGTTGCTGATTACTCAAACCTTTGCGTTTAACGTGGTAATATCATCACTGTTTTCACAAAGAGCCACATGTCGAAAATGCCATTTTTTATCAACCCCCCTACTTTGTTTTAAAATGTACCCAACTTTTTTGGCATACCTGCTCAAGCAAAACATTGTCAATTTCATATTACTGTTGTTAGGGGCAAAAATCTTGCATTTTGCATTTTCATGAAGAGACACAAATCTGACTGCCCTTGCACACATACAAAACGTGACTGGAAAAGGTCCACTAAGTTTTTTTTTTCACAGAGACACACATCTTTGTTACATTCAAAGTGGCATTAACAAACATATATGCCCTTTCATTGAACATTGAAAAAATTCATTGAACAGAAGGGCCAGAATGTAGGAAAAATTGGTTTTTAAATTTCACAAATGGAAGCCGACCTTTACCAATTGATTTCAGCTAATTAACCGCTGTGTTCCTTTTAAGTACTTGATTCAGGCAAAAGTTTACCTCTCAAAAAGTCATTTGAGGGTTTTTACTAAAACAAACCTGTTTCACAACAGTACATTTGTAGTTTTGGAATATGAGACACTTCTCTGGCAATTACCTTGAAAACCAGTTTTTCTTCTTAATTTATGTGTAGCTTTTTGTGAAAATGGTGAAGACGTCCACATATTGGCCCAGTCAGTTTATTATTAACTGGTAATCATACCTATCTTGGAAATTTTTGTTTTACAAAAGAGATGTACTGAGTTGCGAGCCAAAAGGAATCTGACATTGTGTATCTGTTGCATACCTTCAATTTTGTTTCCTACTGAAGTTCTGCATGGCATCCTGTCGTTCCTACTCATGTTATGTTTAACATGTTTTTGTTCCATTGAAATATTTACAAACCTTATTTAAAATTTCTGAAAGAAATTTGTGCTACACAGTACGCTACACATTATTTACCAGAGTTAAACACAATCCATTTATAAACTCAACTGTTATGAAAGGTTACATATTTCCGCATATGTGCTCAAATAGGCAGAAAGTGTCATGCAGAACTTTTAATTAATCTATGATGCAATAATACAAAGTACTGGTATGCGAAGAGTGAAAGATGTGGTTGCTTGGAGATTTGACGATACATTTAGAAGTTACATTCACATGTATTGAGACAGTGGTTATAAATTGTCAACATGTACACGTGATGTGCTAGTGTATCCTACCATTCAAAGCATCTGCGTTATTAAAACAGACAGCTGTGTTGCTTTTGGGGTTGTTCTGTTCCTTTTTCTCCCAGCATAATTCATCTGCTGTCAGTTTCCACAAGTAGTTGAAGAAAAACTTTGTCTTTGCATTTTGAAAAGTCAATAAACTGGAAGGTTCAGGTTTTTTAAGGCTTAACAAAAAAGCTGGAAAAAATAGTAATTGAAATAGAAGACATACTTTTTACTATTTACAAATCCAGATAAGACTTGTTTAACATTACCACAGTAAAAACATAGAGGGCGCTGTTGTAACTTATAGCTAATAAACCAAGTAAATCAAATAATGTTGTACAAGCATCCTTTATTAGATTCGACATTTTAAGAAATGGGACCACTGAATGTTCTTTATTTGAACTTTGACCTGACCCTTCAACTCTGACCTGACCTTTGAACTCTGACCTGACCTTTAACCCTTGACCTGACCTTTCAACTCTGACCTGACCTTTCAACTTTGACCTTTCAACTGGCCAAAAAAAAAGCCCAGCCACATGCAGACCCTCCTGGTGCGCACACGCATGTTCCCCGCCCACAGACACCAACAAGTGGCAGTCACCCAACTACCCACATTAACCTGTGACCAACCATCGATGAGTGTACACAAATGCCCCCAAAGATCCTGCAAGTATCCACGCAATCACGGATGACCCCAGTAGACACCAACATAAAAAGGATCTTATAAACTCTGGCAATTAGTTCAATTTTTCTACCAAGCAGACACTACTTCGGGTTACGTATACGCCGCACGTCGCCACAAAAACCCGCCATCTACTCGAGGACAGACAATTTAAGAGACACACTGCATCTTCCCTTACTGTCTCCCATAAACATTACAGATGTTCAACTGTATCTTGTCCTTTAATCCAATTAAATGGAATGCACTCAGATTAATTTCGCAAGTTTTCTTCAACATTCAATGATTAACGTAATTGAAAAAAAGGGTCTTTTTTGTGTCCCTCGATCATTCATTTCGCACCAGTTTTAGTAAGAAATTTATTTGTTGTGCCTACATGTTGCACACCTCTCTTGAACAGTGTGATTATTAACGCAAGTTGTGATTGAATTACATGTACTTCCTCCATTTTTACTGGACATAAATTTTTTGAACTTCGAATCTAGCGAATCTACCATGCTTCTTGGCAATTTTTTATGGTTGAGTGGGAGGTACCTTTTCTTCAGTAACACATTACCGAAATTTCGATTCAAAAGAAAAAAAAGGCAGGGAAATGTTTGGAAGCACATCAAACTGATCAGACTTGGCATCGAAAATAAATGTTTGCCAAAGAAATTGATTGGCAGAGGAAAAATAACTTCGTTCTCATTTAAGGCAGTTAAACCTGGTGACAATTTAACATTTGATGTCTTTTATTTGAGTGATTCATACATACAGACAGTATTCAAGAGCTTGACTTCAAACTCTACCCAATAGAGCTTGATGAACGAGCCACTTTTGTTTACCCACTAGTTTTTTTTCCAATGAAGTGCGAAAGATATCTTTTTTCCTGCTATCTTTTCACCTGATTCCACTCCTGTGCTCTTCTGATCCATCCCCATCTGGAGAGCCATACTTGGTGGACAACGCAGTAGCTATCTGCCAGTCAGTATCCACAGAAACTGCAGCATCTAATGACACGGGGTTAGCCTGTCCCGTACTCCATGCTAAATTTAATTGAAGTTTTCATTAATTCATGCACTGTACAATTTATGGTTGTACATCCTCATTAATACTCGCTAAACCCAAAGATTCTCATGGCATAATTGGAGTAGGCTTTCTGCATAAGGCAGGCAATGTACATGCTCATATGCAGACCAAGGCGCAGGTCCTGGGGAAAATCAACCTGAGAAAGATATCTGATCTTCAAAGTTTCCAGCAAGAAACTGAGATGATTTGATCATGCTGTGCATGTATTTCATTGTCACGTTACCAGCTGACATTTCTCTTCACTCATAAACACCAATGCCCACAATTTTAACTTCTTGAAAATAAAACAGCCAGCCAGCCAGGAAAGTTTATTGACATCTTTAGAAACCAAAGGACACATCTTTTATTTTAGAGGAAAAACATTCATTCATTTGGAGGTAATCATGGTGCCTTTTTTTTTTTACCTTTTCGGGTATTTACCACCAAAAGATAATGTTGCTATGCATTGATAAATTAAAATTTGACTTTCAAAACACATCTGTAGATCCAGAAACGAAAGTAGCTGATCAGATGTTATCAAAAGGCTAAATTAAACTCGGTGCTCTCTTGGAAAATAACAAAAATTCTCAAAACACTTTTCAGACTTCTATTCTTTTTCCTTCTTGACTTCCACATTTGTTTATAGTCAAGCCAACCTCAGCGATAA